GGTCGCAAACAGGCCCAAATATCAGTAATATTTGTGCTCGATGATATTGAAAAAAAAAAAAAATTGTTTTCCTTGATAACAATTTCTGGTAGGCCATTGGAAATAAACAAGTTTTAAACGGTCCTCCACTATTTTTTTTTACAATGATGATTTTTTAAAAATTTTTGAAATTTTCAATCTGTATTTTTTCAAAACATGAATAAGTTTAACGTTATTTTTAATTTTCAAAAAATATTTTCAAGTCTTTGTTTTCATTCTGCCTCATTGACTTGAAGCACAGTCTCTTCTGAATCATCCACGTCATTGTTCTGTTAATGATTATTTGTTTCTCCGCAGAAATTTTTTTTTTGTCTGTTTTAAATACCGAGAATACCTGTGCAGAGGTCTCGTATGTGCAACATTGCCAACATTTAACGAGACTAATTCTTTTCTGTTATTACTTTGTAATTTTGGAATCAAGAAAATTTTACAAATATTCGACGAAAACATTCCATTCTTAAATATGAGAGTACAATAAATCCCGATTTTTCATATCTAAAGAATGCCTCAGAGCCTATTAATAATAATTTATGAGAATTTTATCGTCACTGTTTTACTGAAACCACGTAAGTCAAAAATTGAGTGAAGAATCTTAAAAAAAAATTGAGGCATTATATTTTAACAAACTTTTGGAGAGGATTTTGATTTCAGTGTATGTAAATATTCAGACCCCTTCCCATTATTTTATTGATCGAGTAGATTCACGTCTGCTCTTGTGGTCTGACTTGGTTTTTACAAAAAGGGTTGGGAATTTTTGATTGATTGAATTAGTTGAAACTGGTTTCTTGATTTCTTTCCTTTAGAATCAAATCTATCGTGAAGCCAATTCTTGTTCGAACAAAGAAAACAAGTACCTGCATGTTTTGACAAAGTTTCACAAAGGTCGATAAATTCTGACCACTCAGGACAAAATTTGAAAAAGTTGGACAAAATTTGAGAATGTTTGACTAGACTTAACAAAGTCGGACCAAGTTGAATAAAATTTGACAAATCAAGTAATTCACCAAGTTCAACTAAACCTGATAAAGTTTGACAAAACTTTTTAAAGGTTAAACTAATTTGGGAAAAGTTAAAATGGGACAAAATTGGATGAAAATAGAGAAATATGAAAAAGTTTTACAAATTCCGCAAAAGTGAAAAACGTTTGACATAATTTGACAAGGTTCAACAAATTTGGAAAATGGAAAAAGTTAAAATTGGACAAAGTTTGGCAATGATATAGCAAACCTGAGCAGCAATGTGACTGAGTGGTAAATACAATAACACTCTGCGATCATTCACATTCTTCATTTGTAAATGAATGTCTGTAGCTTCGACTTTGAATATCAAATTATCATGACTCAGCATCACAGCTTTTGGTGGACCAGTAGTACCTGACTGAAATATTTCGAAACATTAATACTAGTAGTCAGGGGCGGATATAGGCAAATGGAAAAAAAAATTGCATTTCTACTGAAGTTTGGGTTTTGTTTTGTAAGCAGAAAAAAACTCACCAATTTAGAACATTTTTGAACACCCCCCTCCCCCACTGGAAAATTTTCGGGTGTCCGAGGAAAAAATCGACAATTTCACAAATTGTCTAATTCCCCCCTCCTCCCTAATAAGTGGTGCCTTGGATCTGCCGCAGCTAAAATCAAAATGTCTGTAGTGTACCTACATAACAAAGTTGATAATTTCTTTATTGGGAGCTGTCCATACAAATCCCTTTAGAATCAAAACCTGCTAACGCAAGAAAGGTTAATTTTACAGAAACCGCAAAAAGCAATATAGCTAGAAAGGTGTTTTTTTTTTTTTAAATGAAAGGTTGGCAGCACTTTTACAGGCTGACCAAATATTGAGATCCACAGTTAACTTTTAATACCTAATTTCGCGATTGAAATCTGCGTTAGTAGGTATTGACCCAAAACTGACGCATTAGTAGGTTTTGTCTCCAAATGGGAATCGCAATAGTAGGCTTTGACTCCAAATGGGAATTGCAATAGTAGGTTTTGACACAAAATTTTTCAATATGATGGTATCTTTTATCAGCATTAGCAGGTTTTAACTAAAAACTAGCTGGCCCAATGTGGCTCCGTCCCATAAGGTCCCTTTCGTTGTCCGGTGCCCGCCCGCCCGGGTCATGTGACCAACAACCAATCAGAAAAAAGGCTTCAACAGATTTTATTATATAGACTCTACGTTAGTAGGTTTTGATGCAAAACAGTTTTGCTATGTCAATAGGTGTTGACTCAAAACGGTATTTTTAGGGCCTGATTTGAAGGTGTTCTAGTGGGGGTTGACAAAAACTAACAGCACCAATCAATCCGGGAGGTTCAAATTTATCGAAAATGACCTTAATCTCATTTTTCAATTTTTTGACGTTAGTAGATTTGGATTTTAATGGATCAATTAACTTCAGTATAGATGAATAGTCCAGTCAAATGAGACGAAAAAAAAAAAAAATTGCACACGGCTCCAACCCTCCTACAATTGTTGGGTAGACTGCCCCGAGTAAAAATATCAAACGTTTACCCTCCTACCCTATAGGCATTTTTTTGTAGGGGGTTAATGTGCCCCAAAATTCAGTTTTTGCTTTTAACTCACAGAATATAGTATTAGGTTTTTGTGAAAAGGTATATCTAAATATGAAAAATGTTGGAAATTAAATTTCCTACAAAAACCATTCAATGAAAATTTCTCTATCTTTCACCGTTACGAAGTTATGAGCTTGCAAAAATTCTGGAAAAAAGGAAGAGAAAAAAATTCTTTAAAAAATGAAAAATCAACTGATTGATCTTCATGAAGGTAGATACTATAAGGTACATGCTATGTTTCAAATTTCAGATCATTGGTTGATTTTTCATTTTTTAAAGAATTTTTTTCTTTTTTTCCAGAATTTCATAACGGTGGAAGATAGAGAAATTTTCATGAATTAGTTTTTATAGGAAATTTAATCTCCAACATTTTTTGTATTTACACCTTTTCATAAAAACCCAATGTTCAGTGAGTTAAATGCAAAAAACTGAATTTTGGGGCACATTAACCCCCTTAGAAAAAATGCCCCAGGGAGTAGGGGGGGGGGGTAAATTTTGATATTTCTACTCAGGACAGTCTACCCAATAATTGTAGGGGGGTGGAGCCGTGTACGAATTTTTTTTTTTTTACATTGTTTTTCGTCTCATTTGACTGGATTAGAACCTATTACTGTATCAATTTTTTCTTTAAAGTCAATTTGGAATGTTTGTTAATAAGATTTATTGGGTAACAAAAAAATGTTATCGTGGGAAAATTGTGATGAAGCTTCGAGTATACTCACTGTGAATAGCACAGATGAACATTCGTTAGGTGTCAAAGATTCGATGATTTCATCCAAAGTCTCATCCGATTCTTTCGATCCCATTTTTAGTAGCTCTTCCCACTGCAACGATAAATTTTTCTTATCTTTTCTGAAGTACATTAGTTTTTAATATTCGGTGCGTTTGAAACTAAAAAATCTAATTACACTCAGAACTGAATGGTGTTTCGGCGTCCCTTTCATTTGAACAATTGCTTTCAGCTTAGGAGCTTGATCTTGTATTTTTAAAATTTTCTGCAACTGATCATCGTCTTCTACAATTACAATTTCGGCATCGCTGATTCTCAGACAATGGAGACAAGCTTCCGGTAAATTCGATGCATAAATTCCACTTGCGATACCCCTGAAGTGAATTAGTTGAATTTTCATTAGCTTTCTAATTGTTTGATTTTTTGGTGTTGATACGAAGAACGTTAAAAAATATGATGGAAATATTTTTTCATCTTTCCAATAAACCTTGCGATGATTTTTTCAGATCTTCGTAAATTTTATATTTACCCTGCCATAATTGCTGCAAAATTTGAGTAAATCCATGGTGCAGAATTAGCACCGAGAATACAAACTGAGTGGTAACGTCGAAGACCTAATATTATGAAAGCCTTAGCCACGGTTCTGACTTGATGGTAGTATTCTCTGAAAAATAGTTGAAAAAAAAACAATGAAGTGAATTGAAGTTTTTGAATTATGATTCATCAAACGTTGAATAAAATTGATATTTCATTCAAAATTTGAGGACTTGCCAAAAAATGGTGATACATGCGTTTTGATTTTTTTCTTTTTTTGAAAACTCAAGCATACATGTACATTTCACGAGGCCCGTAGCTGAAAAAGGGGGGTGGCTAAATGCCCCCCCCCCCAAGTGAAGTCGTTTTTCTCGAGGGAAAATTGTTTGAATGTAACGAGAGGAGGAAGAGAGGTCAATTTTTCTCATTTTACCTCCAAAACTTGGGTTTGTCCCCAAACATTTTTCTCTGGCTACGGCACTGCATTTTACAGTGGTCCACTCGCAGGAAGGTGGTTGGGGTGTAGCTACTTTCGCTGGACTATTTTTAATGAATAATGAAAAACGAAGAAATGCTTTGGGTATAATGTAGAAGTGAAGAAGAAAAAGTGAGAGGGATGCTGGATGTAAGAAGATGAAAGGGCAGATTGGTTTTCTTCTTGCCACCCTGGTCCTTGGAAAAATGCAAAGAAATTCGTACATATCAATATTTTTCCCTGATTAACTTTGCTAGAAAAAATCGGGGAGAAATAAATAGCCATCAAAATAGGCTTTTCAAACGACATTATTTTATTCATTAAGGCTGTAGTACACCCCTGTTTTTTTTTGTGTAGTTTGCAACTTCAAATAGAACTCCATGAGTTTTTGACAGATTTTGTTCACGTTGAAATATGATTTTAAAACTCAAATCTCAAAATCCAGCTCTCATGAAGCGTAGATAATACGTTCAATTACAAAATACAGTAAAACCTCCATATAACGGACACCAATGGGGCTTTAAAAAGTGTCCGCTGTAAGGAGGTGTCCACTGCTTGGAGGTGTCTTTTAAGGTCATAACATTAAATAGGACCTTGAAAACTGTCCCTTGTTGGGAGGTATCCCCTATTAAGGGATATCCGTTAATGGAGGTTTTACTGTACCCAATTTCAACAAAATTTGTCAAGAACTCACGGAGTTCTATTTGAAGTTGCAAACTCCCCCATTAGCTCAAAATGATACAAATTTGTGAATTCTGCCTTCAAAACAACATTCCGCAACCAAATAAACTAACATAAGAGAGATGAAAAATAAAAACAAAGGAAAATGTTTGAAAAAAAGTGTCAAGCATATTTTTAAAATCGCCGAATGCTGTCGTAGCTGGCAATTTATTAAACATCGTTGCGGAGTTCACCTCATTGGTGTACTATACCCTTGAAAAAAAAAAATTTCAACTGGAAAATAATGAAAAATGAACGACAAATCAGACACGTCAAAATAATCAGGTAGCCCAGCATTATTGTTCACAAATTAATACTTAATAATGAGAAGGCGCGTTAAAAATAACATAATTGATACTCCACAGTAGGAATAATCATCTAACAAATTTTTGTCATTTTCAAACAGTAATAATCATTACAAAATGGAAAATATATATTTTGTTTTTTGATATTTGTGACGCGCTCAGATGAATCATAGTTGGGAAAAAATTTTCTGTTTTCATGTTAGATCGATAGACCACATCCTAACCTTTCCAACAAGCCCTCCCGCAGCTCTCTAGCTCATTTTTGAACAATATTTATGGCTATATTTTTAACTCAAAAACAAAGAGGTGGTAAAAATACAAAAAGGCGCATTTTAAAGTTCGACTTTCAATGGTTTTTCCTCAATTTTGCAACATTCTGATTCGTTTTTAGACTCATTTGATCACTTTCCACACTCTGCTACCTTGCCAAGTAGAAGATGTGTACTTAGGGAATACATTCCGCAAAAAAAATTTTTGTTCATTTTTCAATATTTTTTTACACTTTTGCCTGTTTTGAGAAATTTTGTTCTCCCACTTAGGCTATGATTCGTCTGAGCACGTCACATTTATTGATACATTATAATGAAAGTACTCAAAAATACATTTTGTATGTAATTTAAAGGTGGGTATTGTGTCATTTAAGGGTATGGGTATCCATGGTTGATATAAAAAATGGTCTTCAGTTTGGGGCTCGTGGAGAAAAAGGAGAGAATTTTAATAGTCCAGTGGTGTAACCAGTTTTTTTTTGGTGGGCCGTGGGTGGGCCATAGTTTAGGGTTGCCAAATCGGATTAAAAATTGATAGAAACTTTCCTAGAACTGATTCTTTTTTACTCGATTCTTCTTTAACTCTTAAAAAATTTTTTTCTCAAATTTTTTTTGGGTGGGTCACAATAATTATAGTTAGGCCTATTCATACTCATTCAACTTTTTGTGAAAAACTCGATAGTTAGGTATCTAAATTTTAATCGAACTTACACGAAAGTAACCTTCTTCTGCTGACCGTTATCCGTAAATACCAAAGCTGATTTGTTTCCATATTTATCAACAGCTTCTTTGAAAACACAGGAATAGTCCTGGGAACAATTTCGTTCGACCCGATGCATTGTCTAATCTCGACCTTCTTATTCGCTTCCCATGCG